AAGCGGCAGACAGAGGACAGGGGACAGATGCAGCATCGGACCGATACTGTATCTCCTTAAGTTAGTATAATTTTTTTTGCTAACCCCATTATTTGCTCCCTTTTGGTCTGTTTAAATATACCATTGAAAGTATTTGATCTGTTCGATAAGGGCAAAGAAAAACTGCTGTTTACCCACTCATAAATCTTGTTACATGATACCTTGCTGTACTCTATGCCTCTGGACTGTTATTTAGCACTGCTCTCTGCTATCTCTGTGGACTACAAGAAACCTCCCCTGTTATGAAGAAGAGAGGGATATGTTATATAGTCCTAACACAGAGTTATATAATCCTAAACACACTCTCTGTTCTAGGATGGCAGCACAGCTCAGCACAATTGTCACCCTAGGACATGAAGTTGGTTAATTACATGATTACCAGGTTAAAATAAAGTGAAAAAAAGTGAAAAAAAAAAAAAAACGGTAAATTTTTGTTCTTGGGTTTAGAGCGTATCAAACTCAACTCAAACATTTAAATCAAATATATATTGTTGCCCATATTCATTTTGTTCTTGTTGCTTTCATCATTAAAACCTACCAGAAAGTTGTATTTCCAGACACTTCCTTTCCTAAGGTGACAACTCTTACTCAGTTCAGATGCAGCATTGTCACCCTTTCCTTCTCACTCCTGAGTTGAATTACAAGCAGCTGTGCCAACGGGCAATGCACTGGAATTTTTTGCTTTAGTCACCCCAGTTATAGCCCATTCACACCGTAGTTTTGTAAGTAAGTGCATTAGAACATTCTACTGTAGTCACACAGTTAGGGCCCATTCACATGATCGTTTTGTAATTGAGTGTACTGGAATATTCTTCTGTAGTGACCATGGTTAGGGTCCATTCATACCATAATTTTTATTCAAAGTAAAATGAGCAGGGAAAATAGTTTTTGCTTTAATTTACACATTAGTGTTTTTATTGCGTTACAGTATGGTGCGTTTATGCTTCCCTTTTTTTTTCTTATTAATTCTTTTTTATTGATTTGAAGAAAATATATAATAAAAAAACAAGTATCCTAACAGTCAGCGGTTAACAAAACAGTAAAATAAAAAAAAAAAAGCTCCACTTTCACTCTAAGCCAGGTGTGTCCACTACGGCAGAGGCGTTAAATCAGGATTGCATGAACAGTACTGAAGCGCAGAAGCCTGCAAATTACATTCAGGCAAACCACATTACCTGATACCATACTCCTACAATAGCAGAGGATGAGAATCAGACAAATTTGGTAGACCATTTCAGAAGAGGAGGCCCAAGCATACTTACACCACTCATGGAGTGGAAATGAAGGGGGGGGTCTACATTCAACTAGGGAATCCACCAAGGCATCCCTAGAACGTATGGATCATGTGCAGTGTCAGGGTTTTCAAGCCTCTGTGCCCAGATTTTGTCAGATGTATTCAGACGTCTTCTACCATTATACACAGCTTTATACAAGCGGAATGCAGAATTCACAGAAGATTTCCATTTACTCAAAGAGGGGAGCAGCTGATTTTCAATGGAGGACAATGGTTTTCCTAGTATAAAACAGCAATGTGCTGAGTACCCTTTAACCTTTCTGGGAGCTAGTGGTTCAACCATCTCCAACAGGCAAACCCTCAAATCCAGAGGTACTAAAATAGTCATTTCAAAGACGATAAATTGTAAGACTCATGCTTGATAGATCTCAATCGATGGGCATGACCAAAAATTATGAATAAAATCTGCTTGTGGATTGGTGCATTGCCAGCATCCTGAAGAGCCATTGAAGTGAATTTCTTTACATGATCAGGCACAAGATAAGTGATTAATTATTTTTAATTGGATCAACCTATCGCTCACTGAAATTAGGTATTGAAAGGGATAGTCCCAAACATCGTCCCAACCACTATCGTCCAAAGTTGGAACCTCCATCACCCATTTTTCTCTACATCTACATCAGCTTGGCAGTAGCGAAGGAAGTGTGACTTTTATACAACATGGAATGTGCCTTTGGAAGGGATTCAGACATAGTAAGAATTCCAAATCAGTTTCTGGTAGCGACATGTTGTTTGCTACACGTTTCATGTGGTTCTTAAAAAATGCACATATTATAGTCCATGTTAACACACTGAAAATGCACTAACAATGCAATCATGGTGAGAAAAAAATAAGAAACGCACATCTAAAGTGAACATTAACTGCAGTTTAAAAAAAAGAGCTTTTTCCAATGCACTAGTGTGAAGGGGTCCAAAAACTGTGATGTTCAGTCACTGCTGGACCATGCACATACCCTCAAAAAGTTAATACAAAGAGTGTACAGGATGTGCGCATCACAGGGAGAGAAAACATGAAAGAATATTAAGAAATCTATATTAAATTAATAAAGAAATAATTCAATACTGATTAAATCACAGTGCTCAGCAAAAAGTATTATTTTGTCCGAATTTTGTTCTTTAATCTAACAGCTGTTTCTTGCACAAAAGTTCGGCATGGATAAGCCTGCATAAACTTCACAAATGCCCTTCATTATTCATAGAGCTCTTGCTCTTGACCATCTGAATTTTTGAATGCAATCCTTAGGGAATAGTGTATTGTTTTCCTGAGGCAGTATTGTCTACATGTGCTAATAAGGCAATATACAATAGAACAAATCTTGCATGTAATGCAATATTTAACTTGCCATGTCAGGCCTCCAAGCTGCACAAAATGACCCTTCTTCATAAAACATTTCACCCTCTGACCCCTTTTGACACATATTACATCTTATATGTCAGGAGGCATAGATGTGTTGATGCCCAGTTGCAAAGGCTTGTAAGCCATTCCACAGACATTACAGCAATCACAAAAATTGGAAGCGTATAGTGCATTTACCTTTGACTGCCTCCAGTTTGCCCTTACTGACAACCTTTTTTGTTAGTTTAATGACACCTGATATCATCAGACGTCAGGTACTGCGATGGGCACTCTCATAGCCCCATGTGTTCAAAATGGTTGTTTTTTTTTTTGCAGAATGGGGGGGGGGGGGAACAACAGTTTTATAGTTCCATACAGAGCCCATATAGAAAACATAAAACCATGAATTTGATGGTGAATATTGAATTTTTATATTGTCACATAAAAAAGATAACAATGATTTAATAACTGCTATGGGAAGAAAATTACTCACCAACTCATTCGATTTTGAGAGCTAGCACTCATGGATGTGGAAATCTAAAAAGTCTAAACTCTGAATCCAACTTTAGGGCATTAAGTTATTAGATTGTAAAACCAAGATGATAGCCTGGAGACTGTACCTTTAGAGTAAAGTCAGCTCCAATTCCAACATAAAACATGGATTAATGAAGAGAAGGTTTAATAATAACTTCATGGATAAAGCATATTAACAGGCATTTTTTCCAATTAGAGCAGATCTATAAACTTAGTAGGGAAAAAGGATACAGAAATGAGAGACAGTTTTGGTTTTCTTCAATGGCTTTGGAAAGCAAGCACTGTTAATCACTGTCACTTCATTTAAGGTGTCCCTAAATTAGGGGATCCATTGACTTTTTTTCCCCATAAAATGTTAACATTTAAATCACACATTGGCTTTGAGTATTGTCATTGATAGGATATTTGAGAACTCAAACATACTGCAAGAACTGCAGTATATGTAAAATAATGTTTATTTTATACAGGAGGTCTGACATAGCAAGTTAAAGGTTTCATAGCTGTGCAGGACTTTATCTCTATTTTCTTTTCTCTTGCTGTTTTCCCTTTTTTGCTTTTTGCTGTTTTTGTTTTTTTGGTACACACATAAGTGGCACTCACCTGACTTGTGAAATCTGGATCTGGATCTCCCATGTTGTTGTTGTTCTATAGCAGTGGTCTCCAAACAGTGGCCCAGATGCAGCCCTTGGTTTGCCTTTATCCACCCTTGGGACACTTTCCCTCCCACTAACAACAATGGGGCATAATTAATCTCACTGATACCAACAATGGGGCACTATTCCTCCGAGTGACACCAATGATGGGACACTATTCCTCCCATTGACACCAATGATGGGGCACATTTCCTGTCACTGGAACCAATAATGGTACTCTATTCCTCCCCCTAATTCCAAAGATGTATTGTTTACTCCCATTGACGCCAGGACAATTTCTACTTCCAATGGCCACAGTCCGGCCCCCCTAACGTTTGAAGGACAGTAAACTGCCCTTTTGTTTAGAAAGTTTGGAGACCCCTGTGCTATAGGAAGTATCAGGGTAGCCTCTATTTAAGCATGTCTTTTTGTTGACTATGTCCATAGATTCCAGAATTAGCACATTCTGTAACACAAAGGCGCTTTTTTGTCATTTGTGACATCTACATGAAAAATTAATGAAATGGAGATGATTTATAAAAACAAGACACAATTATTCCCTTTGCTGGCAAGTGAGGGTAAGTATTGTAAAATGTTGTGTCTTGTATTATACAACTATATTTACTATGAGCAGAACAATACAAATATTGTACAAAACCTGCATACTCATGCCATTTTTTTCTCATAAGCAATCATTGTTGAATCAGCAGATCACAAACCAATATGTTTACTTGTATTTAAGGCTCATCAATTTGCCTATGTGCATGAGTAGTTATGTAAAGTGCACATATTGTGGCTAATAGGCACTCGCCACATGGTTAAAAAAAAAAAACTGAAAACAACATATGGACCCTGAGCCACAACTTTTTTTGAACACAAAATTTTAATGAACCAGCAGAATCTGTAAAATAATCAACTACATTTTATTTTACCTACAGAAACTCAGTAACATGAGCAGAAACAGATTATAGGTAGATGACCTTGACTAGATGGACTTCTAAAAATGGTCCCATCCAAGCGTTCCTGACTTACCCTTTAAGCCTCAAACAACAGATCACATCACCGAATGCATAATATGGTTCTGTTTTTGCTGTTTTAGTGATGGCCCAACCAGAACACACTGCTTAAAGAGTAGAGGAAGAGGTGACTATTACACTTCACTTACAAGGTCAAACTTTATTGCACTGGCCCCAGGGGCGGACTGACCATTTGGAAACTCGGGCACTGCCTGAGGGCCTGGGGTAAGTAAAGGGCCCCATGAGATGCCCCTGGTACCTTTTTCATAGGCTTTTTGAGCTTGGGCAAGGACACAGGGGCCCCATGATCCCCTATTGCCCGGGGGCCCCATGAGTTGTCAGTCCACCCCTGACTGGCCCTATACGCATTGATCTTTCACATGACTGTTTAATTCAATTGTTTAAATCACTTAGATTTCTGAAACAATAGTTCAACAGTAAAGTTTCCTTGCATCAATCAGATCACTTTCAATGCACACAGTAGTTTATTAGAAAATAATAAAAAGGGAACATTTCTGAATCTGTGCTAATAACACCATGCAGTCAGATGGAGAAAAAAATTAATTTTCCAACTTTCAGCCTTTATCTGATTCCTCAAAATCAGTAAAAAGAGGTGAAAACGTAATTTAAATAACAGCCTAAATTAATCAGACTACTAAAAAAATGTTATTGATTGATCAACATTAAGGTGTCCCCCCTTTCACTAAAACATTTTCCACTTCCTGCTTGTGGTCCTTACAAATGTTGCTTGGGAAAGTTACAATTATCATCATTGTCACAGGGTCCAGAAGGCAGACCCAGAGTTCCAGGAAGGGAGATGGATTAATCTGCCCTTGGTAAAAATGGCTGCCGGCAGAAGAATGGAAGGAAAAGAAAAACAAGGTATGCAAAGAATAAAAAGCATTCAATCATCTGTTTGTAGATTGCCATTACGAAACATTATTGTAACGGAACCGGTACCCGACCGCACTTGGGTATATTCCGTTATCCCGCAGCTTCCGCTGTCCGAACACCATCCACGGACCACACCCTTGAAATCCCTCAGGAAACAGACAGCACCCAGCTCTTCTTAATACACGAAGCCAACTCTTTATTTTAACACAAAAAACAGAATATATACAGAGGGCGGGGAAAGACAACCAGGGACAAGAAACACCTCATCAGCCCGCCCTATCAGTGGGAAGGGCTACAGTATAGGCAGGAAACACCTCATCACCCCTCCCCATCCAACCAAGACACAGAACAATGGGATGAAGCACATGGCAAAGGACATTGACCAACCCCCACACCAATACACAAACAGTACATCCCATAATAGTTGGCTGGACAGGAAGACACAGCACAATGGGGGGTAGCACATGGCAAACAGACAATGGACAGCCATGTGGCCGAGAACAAAGGAACACATATTATACACAAGACTCAGACATTCACATACACACCCTGTACCCCTTAAACAGGCACAGGGTGGGTTAAACATAATGATTTGGGGAGATGATACAGAGGTTCCCCCCACCCCCAAAAGTCACTCCCGTCACAATTATTAAAGGTGCTTTTGTTGTAATATTTAACATAAGGGTGAAGGTTCTCTTTTTATTGAAGAGATCACATCCAAGTGCATATACGTAGTAACTATAGCACTAAATGCACTGCGATGTGATCTTTTCAATAAAAAATTGGACTCCATAACAAAGATCCACGGTGTAGTAGTGACATATTTCCTCTGGGCTAGAAATAACAGGCACTTTTTACCTTATTCTACTAGCAGCTCAGCCTAGTACATGTACGCTAAAGGAAGTGAGATCTATTTATTTGGGGGCTCCCAGAACCTGCCTCCACTATTTTCAATAAGAAGTAAACTGTGTAGAAAAGTTCCTTTCATTTCTGTTTGTAAATTCACTCAAAGGACACAGGTTGCCTTTCACTATCTCATGCACTGGACTGATCTGCTAGCTAAATCCTTGACTCTAAATGGCCCTAAACCAGACAGAAAAAAGTCCAAGGAGATCAACCTGACAAAGAAAGAAGACCAACCTGAGTTCACCACCAGCTCCCATGCACATAACCCGCCAGATCTATATTCCTACATTTTTCAGAGACCCTGGTGGAGTGACTTCTGCATTTGAGTTGTAAGCTCTACTCGCCTGATGTGACCATTACACTTTTTTTGACACTATAGGGATTTTGGCTGCATTATTGCATCTCCCCTTGCTACAACATCAGGAATTATTATTATTATTATTACTACGAGTTTATATAGCGCCAAAGGGTTTGCTCAGCGCTGTACAATAGGGGGGACAATACATGGCACAGTACAACAACAACAAACAACGTACGAGGGGTAAGAGGGCCCTACTCTTACGAGCTTACAATCTAGGAGGGAGGGGGTAATGAGCTCCATTCAACTGATTAGCACTTATCCAAAACCATTAAACACTGGGCTTTATAAGGTCACTATACCAAAGATGACATTTTAGTATTTAGATGCTGCTGGAGACTTAAGATCAGGGGCAGACTGACCATTGGGGAGCTCGGGCACTGCCCGAGGTCAGTAGGGGCCCCATGAGATGTCCCTGGTACCTTTCATAGGCTTTTTTGGGTGTGATTTGAGTGTGGGCGAGGACACAGGGGCCCCATGATCCCCTATTGCCCGGGGGCCCCATGAGTTGTCAGTCCGCCCCTGCTTAAGATACAGTCAGGTCCATAAATATTGGGACATGGACATAATTCTAACATTTTTGGCTCTATACACCACCACAATGGATTTGAAATGAAATGAACAAGCTGTGCTTTAACTGCAGACTGTCAGCTATAATTTGATGGTTTTTACATCCAAATCAGGTGAACGGTGTAGGAATTACAACAGTTTGTATACGTGCCTCCCACTTGTTAAGGGACCAAAAGTAATGGGACAGAATAATAATCATAAATCAAACTTTCACTTTTTAATACTTGGTTGCAAATCCTTTGCAGTCAATTACAGCCTGAAGTGTGGAACGCATAGACATCACCAGACGCTGGGTTTCATCCCTGGTGATGCTCTGCCAGGCCTCTACTGCAACTGTCTTCAGTTCCTGCTTGTTCTTGGGGCATTTTCCCTTCAGTTTTGTCTTCAGCAAGTGAAATGCATGCTCAATCAGATTCAGGTCAGGTGATTGACTTGGCCATTGCATAACATTCCACTTCTTTCCCTTAAAAAACTCTTTGGTTGCTTTTGCAGTATGCTTTGGGTCATTGTCCATCTGCACTGTGAAGCGGCGTCCAATGAGTTGTGAAGCATTTGGCTGAATATGAGCAGATAATATTGCCCGAAACACTTCAGAATTCATCCTGCTGCTTTTGTCAGCAGTCACATCATCAATAAATACAAGAGAAGCAGTTCCATTGGCAGCCATACATGCCCACGCCATGACACTACCACCACCATGCTTCACTGATGAGGTGGTATGCTTAGGATCATGAGCAGTTCCTTTCCTTCTCCATACTCTTCTCTTCCCATCACTCTGGTACAAGTTGATGTCGGTCTCATCTGTCCAAAGGATGTTGTTCCAGAACTGTGAAGGCTTTTTTAGATGTCGTTGGGCAAACTCTAATCTGGCCTTCCTGTTTTTGAGGCTCACCAATGGTTTCCATCTTGTGGTGAACCCTCTGTATTCACTCTGGTGAAGTCTTCTCTTGATTGTTGACTTTGACACACATACACCTACCTCCTGGAGAGTGTTCTTGATCTGGCCAACTGTTGTGAAGGGTGTTTTCTTCACCAGGGAAAGAATTCTTCAATCATCCACCACAGTTGTTTTCCGTGGTCTTCTAGGTCTTTTGGTGTTGCTGAGCTCACCGGTGCGTTCCTTCTTTTTAAGAATGTTCCAAACAGTTGTTTTGGCCACGCCTAATGTTTTTGCTATCTCTCTGATGGGTTTGTTTTGTTTCTTCAGCCTAATGATGGCTTGCTTCACTGATAGTGACAGCTCTTTGGATCTCATCTTGAGAGTTGACAGCAACAGATTCCAAATGCAAATAGCACACTTGAAATGAACTCTGGACCTTTTATCTGCTCATTGTAATTGGGATAATGAGGGAATAACACACACCTGGCCATGGAACAGCTGAGAAGCCAATTGTCCCATTACTTTTGGTCCCTTAACAAGTGGGAGGCACATATGCAAACTGTTGTAATTCCTACACCGTTCACCTGATTTGGATGTAAATACCCTCAAATTAAAGCTGACAGTCTGCAGTTAAAGCACATCTTGTTTGTTTCATTTCAAATCCATTGTGGTGGTGTATAGAGCCAAAAATGTTAGAATTGTGTCCATGTCCCAATATTTATGGACCTGACTGTATATCTAAACCAAAATGTATTTTTTAATTGCTTACTATGTCCTTGCAGGGGAGATTCTCCCTCACTCTTTGACATGGTGGCTGTTGGTATTCTGAATGAAAGTCATCGAAAGTCCAAAATAGGGACATTTGTCTAATGCTGGGTACACAGAGGAAGTTTGTTTTTTGTTCAACCCAGCTGGCCGAACGAAAATAAATGTACAGATCGCCATATTAACATGTCCGATGTTAGTGCAGCAATCTCTTCTGATGGGAGAACACAATTGGCTGCCAGCACTGATTGGATGCCAATCAGATGCTGGTTTTCTAGCATGCACGTTCAATGGAAGCCAGTTGTGAGACCGCCTTCTGTGGGATGAGGAGCTGTACACAGGAGCCAAATGTCAGACGGTTTTCAGCCATTTTTGGTAAATTTTTGGCCCAGGTGTACCTAGCATACGAGGAGAATTGCCTTCACTTTTTGCTGAACCTCTCTGTATTGGTGCTGCTTGGGCCTAGATGGCCATAGACCCCTGAAAACGTGTCCTTAACTGTTTGTGCAAATTGAAATAGATAGCACCATGGATGGAAAGCATCATGGACAGTACCTGTGCACTAATATTTCTACAACCACCTTTAGCATACCTAACTTTGGAGAGATCTCCTCTCAATTTCTGTTGTATCTCTAGGACAGAAAGTAAACAATATTCTGTAATATATATAAAAAATATTAAAAAAGGAGGTTCTGGCATTTTAACTATAGTTTAAACCACCTGCAAATGTCTCTAGACTCTAATTGTGAAATTTCTCTTTATGAGATGCCAGGTTTACACATCTGCTGTGGCCATTAAGAGGGTCTCCCAATCTGCCTGTTGGTAGACAGGAACAGAGCCAGAAATTATGGTGGGGGATATCAAACATATTATAAGCCAGGAGCAGACTCAGCCCACCAGGTTCCACCTATAAAAGCTATATATCACACTATGGGTGGAATAATTCTTTAATTTCATAA